GATATATGCAAAAACTTAACAAAAAAAAAAAAAATTGAAAGAGGTTTAAACTTAGCTGTGTCTTTGCCGTGCGCTCCCGTCCGAACATATGAGGAGTCTCGGGGGCCGCAAAGGATCTTGGGGTGGGCGCATGCGCAGTTCAGATGTTCGGCCCGGGAGTCGAGGAGAGACACAAGGTAAGTCTATGGAGCAGCGTGCACCCGCACAGACTCCGTGGGACAGGAGCGAAGAGGAGGACAGAGGACTAAGCGCTGGATCGGGGACCCGTACCAGCACTGGAGGGACAGCTGAAAAGGGCAGTAAAGAAGAAGATGATCGAATACAGAGGCATCATTTAAGGTAAGCCCTGACACTAACATTGGGTGGGGGGAAAAAATTGCCTTTAATGTTACTTTAACATACCAAAAAGCAGCAAATAAGAGACTTAATTGTAAGTTGTGAAGGTTTAAATACATTTTGAGCACTTTTATTTTTTAGATGAAGCTAAAAAGTTCTGCCTAGTGATGTTATTTTTATGTGCAGACCAGTTGTGGTCTCTTTGGATGACTGTTGCCTCTGGGCTTGATGCTTGAATTGATATGAAATTTGACTCCAGCTATCCACTACTGAGGGGGTTCTGCAAGCAGTCATGCTTGAATATAGTGAAACATTTAGCTATTACTGTTGATCCATTATATGTAATAAAATATGTGAAGAAAGAGACTAAAGGAACAACCCAATTACAAAACTCATTTCAAATTACCGTAGTTCTCTCCTTGAGAACTGGAGAATGTTTTGGCCCAGGGGACCTTTATCAGGCAAGTTCCTGTGTCAGGGCCTACAGGACATATGTAAGAATAGTGTGGATTAGATTCATGGTAAATTCCTTGTTACTCTCTACAAAAAGTCATATAACAATAGCAGAATGTAGAAACAATTAGCTCACGCTGTTTATCATAATATTGTAGCTTCCTGTGTAACATATAAACTAACGTATAAATATTTGACTCTGTTTTTTAAATGGAACTTTTTTTTCTCTTACTTGTGTTGATTAATTGAAGATTTTATCTATAATTATTTTTGTTTTATGGCTAGTTAGCAGCTATTCTCCGGGAGGTAAAATATCTCCAGTTCCTGAAGTTTTCTAATATACCAGAGATGGCAAAACATTTGTATGTGAAAAGAAAGACATTCCAAAAGGTAAGACCACGTTACCCAACCACAAAAAAGCATTATGATTTAATATAGTATATTACCATATTACATGAAAATTCAGAACATTGAATATTTTCAAGATATTTGTAAAAAATAAGTTAAGGCAACTGGACTTGCTGTATTTTTCTTGAAGACTTTTTACTAGTCATCCGACCAGCTTTCTCATTTCAGAATGGACGGATGACCAGTGAAACGTCTTCAAGAAAAATACAGCAAGTCCAGTTGCCTTGCCTTATTTTTTACAAATATCCTGAAAATATATTTTTCACTGATGTACCATGACCTGGATGATGTGCTCACTTTGTTTCGTTGATAATAAACTGCATGTAGTGCTGTTTTATATTTTTTGTTTCCTTTTTAGGTGCAACATTTAATTTTTTTAAATCATTATTATTATTGTTTAGTTAGATAAATAAGAAACATTGTATATGAATTGGGTACAGACTACTAGGTCTATGTAAGAGCAGATAGGAACAAAGTTAAGTGGTTAACCACTTGCTGACCAGGGTATTACACCCCCTTCCTGGGCAGGCCATTTTTCAGTATTCAGCGCTGCAGTACTTTGACTGACATTTATTCCGTCATGCAACGCTGTAATGAAATGAATTTTATGCCATTTTTTAGGGACAGATAGAGCTTTCTTTTGATGGTATTTAATCACCACTGGGGCTTTTATTTTTTACTATATGATGAAAAAAGTACCAACAATTTTGAAAAAAAAAATGTTTTCCCTACTTTATCTTATAAAACATTTATCAGCTTCCATCCTTCCATCCCTTCCTTTACATTTTTGGTAAAATATAAAAGACGAGGTCATGTTGGGTAAATAGACACCAAACATGTCAAGCTCTAAAATTGCATGTGCCTGCAAAATTGCAAAAAACTACCATGCCTAAAATTGTCTATGGGCGACGTTTTAAAAGCTTTTACCGCTCATCGGTTTAGTGTTATCAGTGATTGATGGCCCTAGAATTATTGCTCGTACTCCTCCAATGTTCGTGGCGATGTGTGTCAAGATGGTTGTTTTCACACGTAGGCGCACCTGACGTGTATTTACGTTTATAAGTTTGTGGGGGTGGGGGACTTTTTTGGGTGTTTTTTTTTTTATGTGGGACTTTCATTTTTTTTGTGCTTTTTAGTTTTTGTTTTACACTTAACTTGATTGCTATCACATAGGGGGATAAAAAGCCCCCAATGTGATAGCTAGAAAACAATGACAGGTCCTCTTTATGGAGACATCAGGGGTCTCTAAGACCCCTAATGTCACCTAGGCACCACAAAAGAAGCTGATGAAGCAGAGATCTGCTTCATCTGCTTCTTCTATGGCTCTCAGCCAGAGAAATAACAGCTAAAGGTGGAAGTGATGTAATATACATCGCTTCCGCCTTTAGAGAGAGTACGGGCAGTCGCTGTCGCAGGAGGGACAGCGGGGCCTGGGATAACCGGCAACAACGGGGAGCCCCCGCACTGGCTAGGAAGGATCACGGCTGTGAAAATGACCTTCTAGCCCAAGTTCCTTTACAGTGCTATAGTTTTGCCTATATCCATCCCTTCCTTTAGGCTTTCAACATTCCAAAGCAAATTATTAATTTCGTGTGGAAAGAAACTTCCCTTAGGGAAATTGGTTCTCTATTAAATAAAACTATAAACAGGGCTGGGACTCCTGATCATCCATAAATATTATCTTGTGGCTCAGATGGCCCAAGTGGAACAATGGAATTCCACACACAGAACCCAACTTCTGTCCACAACCTCTTATGGGTTCACCCAAAACACTGTAGAATGGTCACATGCCTGATAACTCAACACTGCTTATAATTGTGGGATAGAAAATCTCACATAAGTATATCTTCCCACACTTTCCCTTAATGTCAGTCTTGGGCAACCCTATATTCCCACTAGGTTATACAGATCCATCAGCTTTTAAAACCTGGCTTCACCATAGCCTTTACTTAACAAAACACTTTTTAGCCAGTGGGGTTAAAAATCTGGTGTTAAATCTTTTCAGTCTCTGCAAGACTTATATAACCTAAACCTGGGGGTTATCTTAAGATACCTTTACATTAAACACTTTCTTCAACAACTAACCCAGAACTTGACAGGTTTGTCCTATCTTATGGTGTTTGAGAAGCACCTGAATAACAACCCACATGCTCCTTGATTAATCTCATCAATATAACCACTTCTCACAACAACCCAGAGCACTCTTCCCACATATACACAGAAATGGGAAAGACTTTCAAAAACCCACCAGCTCATGTCCTTGTAGTGGAAGCAAATTACAAACTTCTCTTGTGTTGGTACTTAATTACCCGGAGGATATCCCATTCTATCCCAAATGTTCCATCACTGTGTTTTCAATGTTGTCCAACAGACGGATCATTCATACACATATGGCCAGATTGTCCAAAGTTTAAAAGGTTTTGGTTTTACGCCTACCAACTTCTGTAAATAGTTACTGGCACCTCTTTCTGAATGAGAATAGAATGAGATTCTGTGTACTATGGGATATCCTGATTCATACCTCACCCTCCTTCCCAAATTTCCATGTGCAATAAAACCTTTTCTATTTTGATTATACTAAAGTGACTGGCACTCATCATTCTGACCAACCAAAGAAAAGAAACTACACCTGAGGTGAATGCGTCTGGGACTTTCCTGCATTCGTAATGTAGGTATTGGTAACCGAAGAGCCATTTCCCTACAAGTTATGTCTATCTGGTTACCAATAGTGCTAGAAACTGTTAACTGTTTACTGTTAATGCTCTCAGCCAGCAGTACAGATGAAAATATTAAAGCCCTTCTTCACACTATGACATTCCACCACACTGGACTTCTGCATACAAGTTCACATGTGTTGCATTAAGGCAGCAATTTCATCAAGAATGGGCTGCCAGTGCATGGCTAAGAAAAAAAAAAACTGCACGGCAGTTTGAGTCTGTTGACACCTACTGCACTCCACAGAGTGCCTTGTGTTACTGCTGCAGTAAAACACACGTTACTACAGAACATATGTCTAAAGCAGGTCCAAAGGCTAGCTATACTTTCAGATAAATTAAGTCTAATGGCCTACCTCCCTATGCTATGAGATTAGGGGGCGATGTTGAGCCTGCCCCATATCAGGTGGTGCTGAATCAGAGAAACCTCCCTGCAGGCTTATAGGTAGACAGCTTTTATATTTGGGCCAATGAAGAACTAAGTACCCCTGGCACTCTACCCGTATACCAGCATCCCTACCACTGCACACCTGACTTTGAACTTTACTGCCTCCCAGCACCCCTGTCACTCCACTCCACTTCCACTGGACATTGCACCTTTTCTGCACCAGATAGCAACTCTGCCACTGCAGACTGCACCATTGCTCCCTCTGTCCTTGCTCCCCCTTGCTACTTTTTCAGGTACATGCAGAGAGGAGGAGAGGTAGAGCCTGGAGTTTGTGCAGAGTTTCTAACTCTCTTTAACTTCCTGTATTCTTTTTTTTACAGTAAGTATAGGATAGGCTTTAGGATGACATAGGAAGTGTTGGGTGGATTGATAATTTAGAGGGTCAGTCCAACCCAAATTAATATTTTAATTTTTGATAGATGCTGACAAGCCCTATAACTTACCAGTTTTTCTTGTTCTTCGATTACATGGAATATCTCACACTTATAGTCCCTGTTGAGTGGTTTAATGCAGTAGATGTTATCAAGAACTAAAATATCAGTTGCAGGTGGACCTACCCTAAATGCTGGAACTGCACAGCTCTTCAGAAGTGCTAAACATTGTACTGATTTCTCCATATTGTCTGTAAAATACATTGTTAATGCATTAACTGGTTTTTCTGCACTAGCATATTGGAAACCTGGACCTCATAGTGCAGTGGTTCAACAGAATCCAGAAGACAATCTTGCAAGTGGAAAGAGAACTGATAGATAATGAGCTCCAGCAGATTTATGAAAAGCTGGAGCCTGCCCTTACCGTCTTGACTTGGCAGATGCCAGATTTAGATGATTACATTGAAGAAGCCAGAGACATGGTATACAATGTGGACAACCGAGTTCTAAAAGCCAAGCAAAATGTGGAGGTCATGCAAAATCTGATGAGTAAACTACGTGAGAACTATTTTGTTGGTAGCAAACATGTAAAGACTCTGGGCGACAAAGACAGAATGGGTAAACAGTTTATGATTGCTGAAGATGTGGGGCAAAAGATTCAAACACTTCTCAAGGTACAATCCTCATCACAAACCATGCATTACAAAAAATCTATTAAAATCAATTGCAAATGTATTGTTTAATGCAATAATGTAAATGGTACAACTCTTAATTATTTTACATTGGATCGGACTCTTGGATATTTTTATACTTTATAGCATTGGAGTAGAACTGTAGCCAAGCTATAAAGTATTTGCATAGTCTTAATAAGTAGTGGATTAACTTGTAAACAAGCCCTCACTGACCTCTATAGCTGCAGGCACAGGGAAACAATCCATCCTCAAAATATAAAGCAGAAGTTGGGTCTTAGTAATCAGCTTCCCCCACCCCTTCCTGCGTACGTTCTCTGTGCTTACATTAGAGATTAGTCCTAACAGACTGCTGGGAGAAGGTAGCTAAACAAACTACTGGAGAGAAAATGAAAGTGAATGTACCTTTGCTGTAAACGCTGATGATACAGTGCCTGCAGCTACAGAGTTCAATGAATGCTAAGTTTAAGCTTATTTACTGCTTGTTAATATTTAAATGTCCATAGCCTGGCCATAGTTGATATTCAGAAAACTTTTTTAACTCAATTATAATCCAGTAGGGTAAAAAATCCCATCTGTGGGGATATTCTATTCTAAGGCCCCATTCACACACGAATCGACCTGCACGTACAGCTCCATGCTGCGCGCGGGGCCGTACCAAGCAGCTGCCGGGAAGGACAGGTGCTGCGTGTGATTAATACGCAGCCCCCGTCCTTCTCTATGGGGCTATGCAGCCGTACGTCCCCCTACCGAGGCCTGCCATGCACGTCCATAGGGGTGCGGGTGAGCGTATTCATACGCCGCCGGAATGGATCCTGTATGCGTCCCGGCCAGAAAACCCGCACCCCTACGGACCTGCAGTTGAGGTGAGCATAGAAGGGAGTACGGCCACGTAGCCCCATAGAGAAGGACGGGGGCTGCGTACTAATCACACGCAGCACCTGTCCTTCCCGGCAGCTGCTTGGTACGGCCCCGCACGGAGCTGCACTTGCAGTCCGATTCGTGTGTGAATGGGGCCTAAGACTGCATCTAAGTCCAGGAAAGAAAGATGTAGTGATTGCCAGGATAGTACTGTGACCTATCTGTAATAAATGCACACTTAAACATTAATTAGTGGGCATGCTCTTAACATGATAATATGTATCTGATGCTGCTTTAATGGTTGCATTATTGTATCAGCACAATCAGGAACTGTTTAAGGCTGATCCTGTCTCTGATAAGTGGAAGTCGTACACGGAGTACATGGACCGCATGATTTTGGAAGGATTGTTCCAAGCAGTGAAATGTTCGCTTCAGTACTTGACTGATAACACAGAGTTCTCTCCTAAAAACCCTCCTTTGTTTAAAGTGGAGCTCCTTCTTAATGGAGGTGAAATGAGCTTTGAGCCTGCACTGGACAAGAAGGCTAGCAGCAATTTTTACAGCATTATAGAAGGTTTGCTTCAGGATACATATCGCATTGCATTATCCATTCCACGTGTTGCCGTGCACGTGGGGAAGCAGACGTATCAGGTATGTTTTTTAAATTTCATATCATAGGAACAGTGTCTGTATTAGTATAAAGACAACAGCCCTTTAATCAAATCTTGATTGTGAAAGGATTTTTGTAGGTTTTTTTTTTTTACAGATAAGAACTTGGGTTATAGCTATGAAATTGTTGAGTTTTTTTTTTAATTACTTCCACATGGGAAGGCCTACTTTTCCTTTAAGTACACTCTGAGTCCTAGTGTGCATAAGATATAACAGCTTTGGCATAGACAGTTTTCTTTATGAATGTGAATTTACACTATCAACTCAATGGCGTTGATTTACTAACCTTATAAACATGCCACGAACAAGTATACACCTCTGTAGTGTGTTCCCTCCCAGCATGATCTATTGGTGGAATCTAGACACCTTTGTAGTGTGTACACACCCAGCAGGTGTGTTGTGCAAAGCCCTGCATGATTTGCAAGGTGATGTTGTGTAAATTAGCTCTGCATTGTGTTGCTTGCGTTGATGAATGCAGGAATGTAAATGCATGAGCTAACCATTTTTGTCTAAACTGTGAAGCAGTCTTATATATGCATCATGTGCATGATTTTTCCATATATGGCATTAGTAGAAATATGCTTTTAGAGACTTTTTGGTTGATAAATATGTTTTGCTGTGTAAAAATCACACGCACCTAGTGCGTGCGTGTGTTTAGGTTAGTAAATCAACACCAATATGTCCTTCTGCTTAACCTAGTTTCCTAAAGTATACACAACATTATTCATTTTAGATGGCTTGGTTCATAAGAAACTAAAATTAAGTCTTGAAATGCATACAGGTAGCACTGCTTGTCTGCTGAGGGCTGGTGATCTGAAGCCCCATTATGCTTACCAATTTTGAATGCGGTGGCGGTTTTCTTATACGCACCCATTGCAAGTCTCTTGTTCTCCCTCACATATAGACAGCCTCATGTATCAAAATGTAAGTAAGGTGTTTCTCTCAGCAAACATTAACAGTGAAGTCAATCTTCACATTCGGACCTGCCTTGGTAGTTTGAATGTGATATCTGATACCTCAAGCAGAGAGGGAGGATATTACACAGCACAAAAAACAGATACACACATGCCAGCTTTGAGAAGCTTTGTAAAATCTAGCTGCCAGGGATTACATGAAACTCCAAAATAAATTAAGAGGACATTCCATCATTAACACAGCTCCAGTTAACTAAATGATTTCCCTTGTTCCCTAAATGTGATAAATTTCCACATAGAAAGATTTATAAAATAAGTCTCATGGCACAAGCATTACAATTAGCAAGTGAACAGGTGCTGTCAAAAGCTTTTCTAGTGTATTAGGAAGAACTGTTTAGGTCAGTATTATCAGGAAATTGTTTGAATGTTTGTCAATGGTACAAAGTCTTTAGTAAAAGTCTCCTAATGTCCATAGGCTGAGAAGGTGAACTATTTTATGAGCATATGATTCACCCTTGCAAGTCAATGCCCAGTGGCTGACAGACAGATCTGCTTTCATAAGGCTTTAGATGCTGTTAAGGTGACACCCCCGGCAGGTGACAGTAGCTCACCCAAGACACGGAGTCTAAGCACCAGCTGGTTTTCACCAGAGCTCCTGATGTTGGAGATGGGTTAAGCTTCTTGCTGGTACCAGTTCATGGCCCCCAGGGTTGCTCTGCCAAGGGATAGATGAGGACAGGAGGGCTCCAATGACAGTAGTCCTGAGCGTGGTCAGAACAAGGCAAAGGTTCCGGCAGAAGATAACCATAGTCTGGGTAAGCAGCCAGTAGACAGGAGACAAAAAGGAAAGGAGACATAGTTGGTTCCAAGCAGGGTTCAAGGCAGGCTACTAGCAGAGTGTGGCCAGGTGGTCCAAGTTGGCAACAAGCAGTCAGTAGATAAGACAGGAGATGAGCACAATGTCGGGGCCAGGCAAAAGATCAGAGCAGGCGGCAAGCGGAGAATGGTCAGACAGTCTGAGTCAGCAAACAAGAAACAATAGCAGTATTATAGCTTTTGGTACACACAGTAAGCTGGCTTGGAGACTCAGCCCTAGGCACTTACGGAGCTGATGCTAAAATACCCCTCTGAATCAGAGGCAACATACCTAGCATCACTTCAGGGCACTCTGGATGTCTTGGTCTGGATTCTCTGGCTATTATTAGCCATACTGGTCTGGATTCTTTAAGAGCCATTAGAAGTAATGGCATGGCTCCTATTAGTACCATCTGAGGTACTAGTAGGTCTTCTGAAAGTCCAGGCTGGGATTCTCAGAGAAAATCCGTAAGCCCCGACAGGGACTCAGGCTCCGTGAAAACTGCAGGATGAGGGGAAGTAAGGAAATAACAGAACCCAGAGATTTTTAGTTGGTTGCCATTGTACAGGATGAGAAAAATTGAACATAACTTGTGGAGTTGTTATGAAAATGATGGATAACAGTAGATTAAAAGGAGAAGGTACAGTTTAAATAACTTGCAAAAAAACTTGTTGGTTATTTGGAATTTGTTTTATAAAACTGCAGTTACACATTAAGCACAAAAATATTTAGACATTCTCTACATATACTTATGTTGTAGTGTATTACAAGATGTTGGAGGGGTCCAAAAACATCATTTATATTTGTGTGTTTACTTCTTTTGGTACCCCTTGCTAAGTGAATATGGGATCATAGCTGCAGAAATAATAAAAAATAATTGTGGTAAACGTAACGTTTTCAATATTCCATCTTTCATTCTATTATAAACTAGTGTAGACTAGGTATTTTTGCATTGGGAACCTTTAGTTTTACCTGTGCAATGTGATATGGATACTCAGAATTATGAATGTATAAACGATCATTTACCTGCACATAGATATCTGATTGTTGGTTCCCTACATATACATGTAAGCTCTTACCAGGGTATGTCTCTACTGGTATTCCTATAGAACTACAGAATACCTGTACATTCTTGCTTGTCCTATCTCTGTTCTATTCTTCTCTAACATGATAAGTTGTTTTACAGAGCTTGCCATTGAATTTGGATACAGAGGGAAGCAAACACTTTTGAGTGTGTTGAGTGTGTATTTTAGTAGTCTTTTAGCCCAGAGGTCATGAAGTGCTCGATAGGTGTTGCATGCTGGGTAACCAGCTTTGAGGTCCGAATGCATACATGAGGTCTGAAAAGGTCCTTGCACATTAGCAGATGCTACATAAGAATCAAGCGAATAGTTTGGGAATTTGCTAGTTCCTGCTAGGAAGATGAGCAGCAGAAACACTTTTACTATATAATATTCACCAACCAGTTCAACGCAAAGTGCTAATGGTTATAAACTGGACTAATCCAGGTTAAAATGCAGCCACCATGTCCTATATGAGTCATCGCTGAACACCCCACCACTTCGCAAATTGAAAGCTTTGTTTTCTTTTATTCCTTTTCCTTTCCTTTTCGATGCTTTTCTCCATTTCTTTCCTTGTAGGGAACAATAATCGCAGTCTATCACACACAACTCATTTTTATTTCTTGCATGTAGCTGGATGTTGATGAGATGGAGGAGCTGAAAGAAATGCATGGAGAAATTATGAGAAGGGTGCACTCGACCATTGTTAATGTGAAAGAGTATCAGAGACACTTTAAAAAGTACAGCTATTTGTGGACGGATGATAAAACGGAATTCATGAAGCAGTTCCTTCAATACGGTCGGTTTCTTAGTACCGAAGAGATAGAATTGTATGCAGATTATGAATTGCAGGAATGTGCACCGCAGTTAGAGCACTTCAAGAAACAGGTAAAGCGCCAGTGAAACAAAATGACTCAATTTGAATTGTCATCCAGTGGAAAATATTATGTCTTCTTGCTGATATACACGGCTAACCGCCGCCCTGAAGCTGAACATCATCTTTCTGTTTTAACTGGAAAACCATCATATACCAAAATGTATATAACCCCTGTTCTTCTTCGTAATTGGCATTAAATGAAGAAGAACGTTCAGCAACAGCAAGAGTGTGATGGATGTTGTAAATGAAATGTTAGCCTTTGTTCATGGAGAACTTAGTATGTTCATTGTCTCCATGAAATTCATATTTGGTTACATATACACTAAGTTAAATCAAACAATGCAGTGTGCAACAATTAATAAGTAACATGGTGATAAATATCTGACATCTGCTAAGGCAGTGCTTTTAAACATGTGTTCAGTCATGAACCACCACCATAGCCTTTGCAGAATCTGAGTAGCAGACTGTACTACTAAAACATATGTATGTACAACCAGGGATTGCTTCAAACTTGCTTCTTCTCACGTCCTTCTGGGTTGTTAACATCCTCTTCCTTCTAATCCAAATATGTATAAGTTCAATACGATTCTGGTGTCCATGGTGGTAGACACAAGTACTTAAATCGGGATTAGCTTTCTAGCACCTGCCTATGGTACCAGAAGCTAATGTTACACCCTTCCTGACCATTGCTTTATCTTTTGTGTACAGATCAATATTTACGAGTCACTGTATAATGAAGTTGAAAGGTTTGAAAATGAAAGGATATTTAATGGCTGGCTCCTGGTCGACATGAAACCTTTCAAAATCTCACTCATGAATGCTATCAAGAGATGGAGCTTAATGTTTAAAGACCACCTGCTAAATCTTGTTACATGCAGGTAAAACTATAAGCATGTTTTACAGCTTATTATGTTGGAAAACCCCCATTAAGTCTTTTTCTTAGAAATATGATTACAATGAATATGCTATAAACCACATTTTTATCAAAATAAGGATGCTCTCAAATACTGGCACCATGAGGTGTACCCTAGTTACTCTCCTAAATTTTGTCCTAGATGCTCAGCCACACAATAAAAGAAAACCTGTACTGATTGAAATATCAGTTGCTGACATCCTCCAAAAAGTGCTAATTGCCTGGATATCTTTGGCTTTAATACCACTGGGCTGGAACAAGTATGTAGACTAGGAAAGTTCACATTTAGAACTCCTAGTTTGCTTACTTGCTTGGAATTAGGCTTGCATGCCATTGTGGTTGATTTATTAAATGGTTTTCATTAATAACTATATCAACATTTATTTCTAGTGTTAATGACCTTGATGAATTTATTCACCAAACGGAGAAAGGTTTATGCAAGAAAGTGAAAGCAGAAGACTATGAGGGCTTGGTGGGAACTATGGGCCATTTGATGGCAATACGAGATAAACTGTCTACTGAGGATCACTTCAGATATCTTAAAGCTACAGCTGAGCTCTTGCGATCTTATGGACAACAATTACCTGAGCATATCTACATACAACTGGAAGTAAGTAAAATTCTATTGGCCTGTAAATGAATGCCCCATCCACTGGGACATTCACAGGTGTTTACATTGATTTACCACTCTAATACATTTTTATAATGATCATTTTTTTATATCAGTCTTATGTAAAAGAAAGATCTACGATGCAGGTACTCTCTTTATATATATGCATACTTTGTTTACATGCATTATAAAATAAAGTGTAAAAAGAGAAATCTTTACTGATTTTAAGAAAATATGAAATTTAAGGATAATAAATATGTACAAAAGAAGCTGTAATCTATCTACAAACTACAAAACAGTCAACCAGAACTATCTACGCTCTGCTTTCGGTGTCTAACTGTCAGATGTACCAGCGAACTAGTAGCGTGGTAAGGAACCCACTGGCAGGAAGCAGCCGATAAGTCCAGAAACGAAGTACAATTTAGGGGCCATCTAAGAGAATAGTCAAAGTCCAGTCCGGGTCGAGGCAGGCAGCGATGGTTCAGAGGCGATAGACAGTCCAAGGGTTCAGTAATCAGGAAGTACAACGAAAGGGGCAACAGGTAACAACAGGATCAACAGGGAGGCTAGGTGTTCACCATAACTCGGCAATAAGCCAGAGCTCAGGCCAGGTTTTTATAGCCAGGGGAGGTAAGACCACCCACTGGTCACCGAGGCAACCAGGAGGCTTCCCTCCCCGGCAGGCGAGAGAGATGGAAGGTGTGTGCTGGGAACCTCCTCCAGCAAGGCCCACACCCGATGGCCTTAATGGCACAGGAGCGTTACGCGCGCGTTTCCAGGGATGCACGCGCAGCCTGCGTACTGAGCATCCGCCGCGCGACTCGCTCATGCGCACCCGCAGCCTGGGCACCAGGAGTTCTACCAGGCTGGAGGGGAACCCAAGCAGAGGTAACACCCCCTGCTTCCTGACACTAACACAGTAATAATTCACCTACCCACTAAATGAAAGATTGGTGAACTTAAATCAGAAAGTTCTAATAGTTGATGCTTCTAATGGAGTCCTCTCTTGCTACTGTTCTTCCTTCTTCCACATGATCAACTGTGTCTTCCTACCCACATGACTAAGTGTCCTCTTTTTTTCTTCCAAGCCATGGGACTGTCCTCACTTCCTGGTTTCCATGCATCCCCATTTTCTGTGTAATCTAACCCAGCTAAACGTTAGTGGGGAAAAGCATTAACATACCTAAATCTACTCCGCTAATGAATGACAGAAAAAGGTTCCCATTAGGCGTGTTGGGAGCAGTGGACATTACTCTACTAAAAGGTTAGAAGATGGGGTGAAATTTTCTGCTATTTTTGCTTTGTAAAGCCTCATTGCTGTAAATGCACACATGACACTTATCAATATTGATTAGTCTGTTTTAGATCTAGTTTAGCAATATATTTATGAAGACAGTGAGGTAGAATCTCAATGTTGATCACTGGGCAGTTGTAAAACCATCACTCAGTCTGAATTAAATTTTTGAACTGGGTGACAGTCCTTTCATGCCTTTAGTCACCCTAATACTTGGACACCAAACAGCTACATTGACTGATGCTGTTGTGCAATGACTATTGAGGTTGCTTGATCAGCAACTAGTGTAGGCTTACCTTCAAATCCCGGACAAGTTGGGTCCTTCAGAACCCCCAAAACATGTTGGCTTTAGCAAGGATATCAGATACATGGATTCAAGAGTCAAAAAATGGCCCTTGTATGCCTGAAAGTTGCTTTATCCGAGCTTTCACACCTAAACACCCTAACCACAGGGGGATCAACATTACCTGGGGATCCAATGCTTCAAAAAAAAACCAATTACCATTTTCTATGACTATCTGTCTATGTTTTTGTTTATCATACAGCAGCTTACTGTCCATACAAAATAAACACCCTATATTACATATTTGGCAATGCCGAATATGTCCGGGTGTGTATCTAACTTTGCTAACTTACTGGTTGTCCATTCTTAGTAATGTATTTTTAGCACTAGGAAGAAAGCGGTTAACGGACATTAGTAATGTGCATATGTACAAAATTAATATCTGTAATGAAATAAATGTCCTCATTAGGAATGTAAGTTCATATGCTGCTTTAGAATTATTGCTCTGAAACCCTTTCCATTCCCTCCCTCATTCTTTGATTACTTGAAAACCAGTTATACAGTCAGCTTACAAAAAGCACTTTAAATTCCTGCCACAAACCTTTTTAAATATCACAGCAAAAATGGGATTACTGTTATTTCATTTTGAACAGTACTATTGTAATAGTCTTTGAATTGTCCTACCTTGTTGGAGTTACTAACATTTAAAGTAATTGAGCGCTGGGTTGAATTGAACCATTTTCCCCCGTCTTTTTGGGCAAAAAAAGAAGGTTCTCGCATTATGAATTGAGCCGAAAACCCTGTAATTGCAATAATGCGAATGCCATTGTTGCTTGATAACGTCAAGTGAGTAGAAATCTCAAATTCTTCAGGCACTGACACAAAATATATATTTTTTTCATAATTAGTAAACTTTTCCACGTGTGTATAAAATAGATTGAGTGTGTTAGGAGTACTTTTTGAAAGTCTGACTTCTGAATATACTGGTATACTAGTATTGAAGGTTTTTAAATGATGCCGTTGATTTTGCCTACCCATCCTGAACAATTACTGTGCTTATATACAAAATAAATGTGTATACACTAATACATACATAGAAAGCAGACAAAATAATGGAAAACACACCACAAAAAATGAGATTCAATTTGTTGCAAATAAATTATTATTTCAAAGCTTGCCGTTGGTGATATACATCATCCAAAGAAAAAGGGGGGCTTTGATATAAGTTTTCAAAGGGACATTGACGAACAAGAAGAGTTAAAAAGAGGCTAAATAGTTTGTACCAAAACTGCCCCTCAAGCATTCCTGAAATCATAAAGCAGTTTTTAAATCTTTACTTGTATGATGTAACAGATACTCAAGCCTGGTTAGAAATTCACACAGAATGTCCTGGTTCCCCCAAATTTTGGAGTGCATTGACATGCATATTTTCAGGTTTTCCAGTGGAGAGTTTTCTGCTATTGTCCAATGTATGCACTTAAAGGAGAACTATGAGGTGAGTGCTTACTCACCTCATACTTCTAGCCGACCTGTGACAATGAGACTGTCACAGGTCAGCTCAGTAGATTGGGAGGTGAGCGAACACTCACCTCTCGATCCTGTCACAGCTCTCTGCCGTGACAGGGGAGGGGCTGGATTCCCCCCTCGCCGCTCCGATCCGCCAGCGCTAACTGGCGGATCGGACGGGGCGGGTACAGCTGGCTCTGCCTCTAGACAGGCAGAGCCAGCTGTCGCTCACACAGCTGGGCGGATCCCGGCATAATTGTCGGGATCCGATTCAGCGTCTCAGTATACTGCGAGCAGTAGCAGTAGCTCGCGGTATACTGTGGCGTCTCAGTATACCGCGAGCTGCAGCTCGCGGTATACTGAGCTTAGGGTGATGGGAGGACACTAGTCCCCCCACTAACCCCATAGTTCTCCTTTAACACACGAATGGACCAATAATGAAGTACAGGAGGTGGGAGAAAATCCTAAGAAGGAAACCTGGTCAAACATTGGACCAAATGCACTCTGTCTGAAATCTGACCTGGCTTTCAATCACATGGAAATATCTGCTACATTTTAACGCAAACAGGGTTAGTCACTAAACTAAGAAAAGTTTGGAGAAGGCCGGAGAAGTCAACAATCTAGGACAACATAGCTGAACAGGAAAGTGAGCTGAATTGGAGAATGTTTCCTAATCAGCTATGTTGTCCTAGATTGTTCACTTCTCCTGCCTTCTCCAAACTCTTCATCCTTCTGTGAATAACCCTGTCAATATTTAACAGCTTTTAAACAGTTTTGAAAAAATTATGACAACATATGCCAAAAATAGAAATATAAGCTACCCTTATTACTACACAGGAATATACCTTTCATTTCAGTATGTTGTCTCACTGCTTAGAAATTGACCCCTATATTAGCGTGCAAATAGCAGCTTTTAGTTAATGAGTCTTACATTCTTTTCTCCCTAGGTGTGACTAGGGCTTCCCAGGGTTTACATCTCAGCTCTGTGTAATCAGTTTGAGAAATTCGATCATTCTGGAAATCATGTGACTGCTTCCCATAGAAGACAGATTTATCATTGTAACACTACAATGTCACATGTGTGTAATATGTCCACATTGACCAAATACGGCCATATGGCCATATAAGGTCAATGATGTCACCAGCATCCTATCTGTTTACGTGCAGCTGTGGGGTGGGGAATGCCCCAGCTGCAGTTGATTGGGCCGGCACTGACAGCTTCCCAGGTTTGGACAAACTCAAGTTTGATAGACCCTGAGCTAATCCTTAATTATTACCAAGATATAAAGTAATGAGAAACCCAGTATTTTGAGTCATCAACAGAACAGGAAAAAGGGGAAATCTTCCAATGGTGACTTCCAGTCTAAGAGAAGATTATTCTCACTTCATTTTGTCTACAAAACAGCTAGTCTAGGAAAATCGACCCAGTGGGATACAAAACCTGACAGGGCATCCATTCCCTACTCTATCCAAAATGGTAATGGCTTTAAATATACTTTAACCCTAATAAGGTCTCTTCCTTTCCCCATAACAACTGATACCCTCATTGCATTGTTATGCTGTCAAAAGCAATAAAACAGCAATAAAAACAGAACAATTTACCTTTTTTTAGGTACTGCAGTATTTAACCTTCCTTTGAAGTATTTAACCTTCTTCTTTTATACTAAAGAAAAGCACATTTATTTCGGTCTGCTTTGCTGTTGGTGAGTTCCCCTCGCTTCCTGTCTAGTAAAACATTGTCTGCAGGACAGAAAGTGAGGGTAAATCTCTAACACTTCCCCATTCTTTTCAACACAAAAAAAGGTTTTGGCTGGACATTCACTTTATTTCAATATTTTTTTATTTCGTATTATACAAGAAAAAGGAAATTGTACAGCCAAAGCCAAATGGATGAGATATGAAAACACATATGAATAC